TTTAGATTTCTGCCCGGGGAGACAGGGTCAGGACCAAGGGAAGGTAAATGGGCTTCTGAGTACAGACACTTTCAGGTCGGGTCTGCTTAGGCAAAATATCACCCTGGGGAAGTATATTTGTCATGTCTCCCAAGTTCATATTTCTTAACCTTAAGTGACTCATCCTCATTAAGCCTGTTTCTTTATCTGCAAAATAGGGATAATTCATAGTACCTCACCAGGTTTAGGGGAGATTAAATAAGGTGATATGTACAGAGCTTGGACCAGTGTGTGGTTCAGACCAAAGGCTCTATCAATGTTATTATTATTATTGCAGCTGCTGTTGATTAACCACCAAGGGCTGTGTCAGGCCGTTTTCCTTATATTTGTAATAGAATAAGGGTTCAAAGTGAAGGTACCAAGATAGACTCCTAAATTAGGGGGAACAGCAATTAGGATTCTCTTAGTGACCTCACAGGGCATCCTCACTGCCTGCAGGGAGACTAAAGCATGGGATGGTGGCTGGGGAGACAGTAGAGCTGCAGGTTCCAATCCCAGAGCCGTCATTGCCTAGTGCTGTGGCCTTGGGCCTCTTATTTTCTCTTTCAGTCTGGGTTCATCCAGAAATGAGGTTGACAGAAACTACCTTGCACAGTTGTGTGAAGTATACAAGACTCAGTACGTCAAATGGCCTGGCTCAGAGGGGTGCTGGGAAAAGGGCAGCCTTCATTAGTGTTATTGTTGTTATTTATAGAGTAAGTGTCCCAATGAGGGCCTGGACTTTAAAAGCTGTCTCTGAGCCAGGGGAGGAAGGATGTTACAGGAAGGAGCTGAATGGCAAAGGACCTTTCCTAGCACCCTCTTAGTGGCTAGCTGCGGACATGTCACCTGGAGAGAAGACGTGGTACCAGAAATTAACTCAGAATAGACATGACTCAGGGCAGTGCTCGGCACTGGGTCTTGGAACAGTCTTTCTGCTCCTTACCTTACATTTGGGAAGTAACACCCCTTGTAGAGGAGCAAATGCAAATAAAACCCACAGCTTTGTCCCACCCTTCTTTTTCTAGCTGTAGAGACACCTCTTTTGAGTTGGGTATGCTATTCCAATCCCAAACTGCTTTGCACATAATAGGATCACTGCGATCCTGTATCCTAATGAGTGAATCAGCAAATGAATGGCTGATATCTCCAGCCACGGACTGCAGAGGGTTCTTAGCTCCTATAGTGGGAGAGAGGCTATGATGGCTTGGGTCCTAACAGATTTAGTCCTACTAGGCCTATGTTTTTAGGATGGGGACTGAGTATAGTACTCACTCCTGCCCGGCCACCTTTCTCCCTCTGCTCTCGGAGAAGGCTGGTAGCCCTAATGGCCTTTTCTCTGGGGCCTGAAAAGGTCAGTTGTGATTAACATAAATCAGAGAGTCCCCCAGGTGTCTGCATTTGCCTCTAGCTGTTCTGGGGAAGCAACAAGGGTACTTGAGACCTTAGTCTAGAGCCCACTAAACAATTAACAAAAAGTATCTTCTCATTATCTTAACTTCACAGCAACCTGTGAAGGTTAGCATTATCTTCCTCCATTTTAGAGATGAGAAGAGAGACTCAGAGGGGAAGTGGCTTGTCCGAAGGTCACGCAGGACCGTGCTGTGGTCTGCCTCTCTGAACAGCCTGCCTGTGCCGCGCCACGCTGGTTTGGTGGCAAGTCACCTAAGTGTGTTTCCTATTTGTCAGAAGCAGCCACAAAGTACCTCTCAGGTAACGACCCAGCTTTCCCTGAGCGTCTTAGCACTGGGCTGCCATCCAAGGTCACGTGCAGCGATAGAACTGATCAGGGCCACTGAAGACCAGTCTCCCTCCTAATCAGGAATAATCAGCAACGGCTTTATCCTTCTCATCCCTCTGATCCTATTATTCCATTCATGAGTCGGAATCTCACAGTGTGGCTTCCAGAGGCCCCGGGCCTGATGCCTCAGTGAATAGGAATGGGGGTGGGATGGGGCTGTGTGATGCCTTTGCTCCTTCTAGAAGCTCCCACGGTTCAGCCCTTTAAAAATTTTCTGCTGCCCTACCCGGCTTGGCTCAGTGGATAGAGCATCAACCTGCAGACTGAAGGGTCCCAGGTTCAATTCCAGCCAAGGGCACATGCCTGGGTTGTGGGCTTGATCCCCAGTACGGGGCTTGCAGGAGGCAGCCGATCAATGATTCTCTCTTATCATTGATGTTTCTCTCTCTCTCTCTACTTCTCCCTTCCTCTCTGAAATTAATAAATAAATATATTTTTAAAAAAAAATTTTCTGCCGAAGGTCAAGCCATCTACCCCTTCCAATCATCAGCACCCCTCCCGCAGAGCCAAACACAGCTTAAGCAAGCTCTAGGTTTGAATCCCTGAATCCCTTCCTGCCCTGAAGACTCAAGTTAATACTGCATCCTCTTCCCTAAAGAATGATGGGCTTCTTCAAAGTACCTGACTTTTCATTTAACAAGTTAAGATCAGGAATTTATTATTTTAATCTTTTTTTTTCCCGGGTGACAAAGGAGGGCAGAAATAATACCTTACGTTGCAAAGCCTGTACTTAACAGTATTTTCATATCTGTAGCTCATGGTCTTCACCATAATCCTCCAAAATTGAAAGGTCAGGTCTTATTTCCATGTTATAATTAAGGAAACTGGGATCCAGAGAAATTGAATCATTTATACAGGCCATGTGGTTAGGAAATGGTAAACTGAGTCTCAAATCCAGCCGTTGGGACTCCACATTCTACATTCTTTAATATCATGCTAGCATTTATTGAGTGTCTACTATGTGCCAGGCTTCATGTTGAGGGGTATGATTTATTATCTTATTTAACTGTCCACACGATCCATTACAAGCAAAACCTCTGACCCATATCCAAATATCTACATCCAAAGTGAGCAACGTTTTGAAGAGTGTGCCAGGGCAAAGTGCGTGCCTTTTCTGCAGGAGACAGCTGTCCTGTGTGCTGTTTCCAAAGACAGGCACATCACAAGGGTGACAAGTGGGTGCTGTGCTCTGGGATGGCCTGCAGGGGACAGGAGTGGGTGCCCTGGCCATATATGACCAATGCTTGTGGCACTGTGCCAAGCCCTTTGCATGTATTGTCTCGTTAACTCCTGGGAAGAGCCCTTGAGGGAAGGGTTATTAGAGTACCCATTTGATCAATAAAGAAACTGAGGCTCAGAAAGATTAACTGTCCTCAAGATCAGCCAGTAGTTGCTAGGCAGCAGGGCAAGATTTGAACCCAAGTCTGACTCTGCACTCCAAGCTCTTACCAGTAGGCTGTGTCAGTAGTTCTCAACACTGGCTGCAGGTTAGAGTTACCTGGAGTACGCTCATCGGCAATGTCCGGAGCCCACCTGTGCCTGATGAGTCAGCATCTCCGGGGAAGCTCCCAGTGAGTCTCATCAGCGGCCAGGGGAGGGAAGCTGCTTCACACTGTGCTGCCTGCCTGCTCATGTATCTGCTCATGTAGTTCGTATGAACTGGGTTCCTGTGTGAAGCTTAACGCATTTCCCTGTGGGGTCCCTGGTGAGTTCTAGCTTTACTTTTCTTTCTTTCTTTTTCTTTTCTTTTTTTAAAACTTAAAATTGTTCAATTTTAATTTTTTATTGAATTTATTGGGGTGACATCGGTTAATTAAATTATATAGGTCTCAGGGCTATAATTCTATAATACCTCACTTGTGAGCCCTAGCTTTTCAACAGAATCTGCAGATGGCCAGTTTCCTGGCTTTGGTCTGCATGTCTTTTCTGATCTTCCTGAATTGAGGCGCATCCCTAGAGTTTTTGTGCTTCCCCTTCATAGCATGTAACTAAAATGTAATGAAGTCAGTGTGTTCCTAGCTGTGTAATAGCTCTTGCCCACCTGCTAGAATGGAAGCTCCTTGAAAGCAGGGACTGTGTTTCTCTTGTTCCCCAGGCTCTCAGGGCCAGGCACAGTGCCTGGCACATAAATACTGGACAAATGATCCTTCTTTCTCCATTTTAATAATTACTTATAGAGTCCCCGTATGTGCCATGCACTTTGCCATGCAGGCATTTTAAGTAAGAGAGAGGAAACCCCATTTTCCAGGCACGGACACTGAAGCTCTGGAATGTGAGAAGGCAGAAGCCAGCAGAGCCAGGACTCAACCCCAGGCCTGCCCATCCTCTCATTCATCTAGTCCATTGCTCTTCTTCATGAATGACCCTGACCCCTGACCCCAGACGCTGCTTTAAGCTATTTCCAAGGAACACGGCTTTGAAGAAGGCACTTAAATTGGCGGCTTGCTCTTTCAATTCCAACTCCCCAGCGTCTTCACTCCTTTCTACACGTTAGGCGAAAACAACTCCCCAGCCTCCTCCATCGGCCCTCAGGGGGTACCCCTCCTTCTCCCATTCCCTCTCCGGAGGTTTGGCCCAAACACGGGCCGCTGAGTAGCCTGATTAAACCCTCCCCATGTCAGTGACATCGTCAGCGGCAGCTCTGTGGACAAGAGCTATCCAGAGACCTCCTTCCCCGGCTCCCTGGGACCAAGCCGGTGGCACCTTCTGGGCAAGGCCTCCCGCTCATCTTCCCTAAGGGGAGGTCTGACCAGCCACTCGAAACTGGGCAGAAAGCCCCTGGGAGAGGAGCCCCTCTGTACTGAACGCTCAGGCCTGTGTGTAAGGGTGTTCCATCTGGGGCTGACCTGCCTCTGGCGCCCCCTGCTGGGGAAAGCTGGGTGCGGGGGATGGGACTTCTCTCTTGGGTCGTCTGGCTGGGGCTGTAGATCTCCACTGGGACGTGAGGCTTGAGATGACTGACATCACAGCTGGAGCCTGGAGAGGAGGCAGAGCCAGTCCCCTCAAAAGTCCATCGTGGGACCTCGAAGGCCGCTTTGCCAAGGGCGGCCTCTCTGCTCCACACCCCAAGGAAGCTGGTGAGAGATCCTGGCTCAGATTAGGCGGAGGATTACGAGGTCAGTGGCCCTCACTCAGGCCCTCCAAGACCGCGCCCTGGGACGGGAGCAGGCGTCGCTGCTAACTGCTGTTGGCTCAGCTGAGCCTCCAGTCCCCGAGCCTCATCCCATTCCAGTGCCGAGGCAGGTGTGGAAAACCAGCGTGATGGAGATGTCGCAACTCCCCCAAGCCCTCAACTGGAGCTGCCTGCTCAATCCAGCTGCACTTGTCAGGAGACAGTCCTGTGTGTTTGTCCCTGTGTGCTTTCGTGTGTGTGTGTGTGTGTGTGTGTGTGTGTGTGCGCGCAAGCACACAGCTGGGAGGCACCCTGGCTTTGGGGACCCAAACTAGCCTGATTCCCCTCCTGGGTCTGCTGGCCTAATTCCCAGCTGCAGCTGCCCTTGGGGGCCCCCCTCCCCAAGGCAGTCTCTCCGCTGCTCTGGCAGCTGGGAGAGGAGGAGCTGCGGGAAGGGGACTGAGCGCTAATCTGGTGGAGCTGATCTGGCCGCCTTCTCCAGCTCCGCTGCCCTCTGCCAGCCGCTCTCTTGGTGATTTTCTCTGTGCCCTGCACGCTCCCCTCCTGCCTTCATCTCCTTAAGAAAGTGCCCAGAAAGTTAAACCCACACACACACAAACACACACACACACACACACAATCCACACACAAAAAAAGAATCAGCAGGAGCAGGCAGACGAGTGAGAGAGCACGTGCGCAAGAGAGAGGGCTCGGTCCAGAGGAAGAGCGGCGCAGGCGGAGGGCGGCTGGGCTTGGCAGTGACCGGGACTGAGGTCTCTTAGCCCCAAGAGCCTCCTCCATGGACCCCAGGATCCTGAGAGGCGCTGCCTCAGCTTAGGATGGGCAACTGTGTCAAGTCTCCACTGAGAAATCTCTCAAGGAAGGTATGTTCCTGGACTTCCAAACCTGGGCTGGGGGGTTGGGGCATCTTCCCATCGGCCCCAGGGGTTGGGCATGGAGGGGTGGGCATCTGAGGCTTGTCACCTTCCCGTGGGTTCTGCCTAGAGCTGCTGCCCTGTTCTGAATCCGGATTACCTCCTGTCACAGTTTCCTATGTCCCAGGAAGTTGGGACTTGGAGCTGCATGGGGGACTGTGTTTGGGAATCGGTACAAGATTTAGGAAAGAGCCACATGGCTGCTAGGATGTGAGTGAAAAGCGTGGGTCCTAGGATGTCAGAGCGGACAGACCCCTTGGCGCTGGCAGGACTGGAAGGGGGTTGAGCTTTGACCTTGCTGCTGCTAAGCCTCCTTCTCAGCAGGAGGGCCTCTGACCCTCCCTGGTGGTCTCTACACCTTCAGGGCTGCGGGTTTTGAAGTAGATCCTGTTGCCACTGAAAGGAACCAGGTCAGAGAATCTAAACTAGGACCAGGCTGGTTCAGGGGCCAGAACTGTCTCCATTGAGAAAGAGGATGTCGAGTCAAAGGGTCCGTGTGTCACTTTCTGTAGCGGATTTATTGCTCTCACACCAGGATGCTGTCTTTTTGCAAGAATTCCTTTTGGGAAGCAAATAAGCACTGGGCTGGCATCTATAGGGCTTTGCTTCAAGTGGACCCCGCCTGTGTGTCTAGCCCTCTGCGGTCAGGCCGTGTAAGACACTCCTCGATAGCATCTAAAGGAAGAGGCATGATAGGGACGTTTTCCTGCAGGGCTTTCATTTCCCAGACGAGGAGCTTAATTGCCACTGAGGTTAAGTGACACTTACCTGAGGTCTCAGGTGAGCTAATGGCACCGCTGCCCCAAGCCCATCCTCACTCCTCCGTCCGTTTGACAGCCTCTCCATTTAGGGCATCTCAGGCTTTTCTGCTGCTCATCGGCTTCCTCATGTGGCTAAGCTGCTCACATCAAATCCCTTTTCATCTTTGCTGCTCCTCACATCCTTCTGAGGGGTGACTGTTTCTTCTGTGCACCCTCCCCCCATCATCTGCTATCTTCTTAGCGGAGTCTTTGTACCAGAAGTGGCCTCCACACTGTTGCAGAGGAACAGGAACTGATCAGAATTAGTTTAAAGGACCACAGGGTGAAAGCCCCTCCCCTGGCTCTGTCCAGAGCTTGAAGAGGTGAGTTTAAGAATAAGAATTGGCCTTTGGTTCCACCCCACCCATCTTCCTTACATAGCAGAGGGCTTAAGAATCACGCTTCTCAGGCCTCCACTTTCCAGCTGTGTGACTTTGGGCAAGTTACTTGACTTCTCTGGGCCTCAAGTATAAATACTTGACTTCTTTTGTCCATCAAGTATAAATACTAATACCCACTTTGCAAGGTGATTGTGAGAACTAAAAGTGTTGTGCACTATATTCACTGCCTGGAATGTAGTACTCAGCAAATGTTAGCTAGTAACATTGTTATAATCATAATTTTTCCACTCTGGGTTTTCTGAAAAGGGGGATGGAGGAAAAAGAATATAGGAGAGGTTTGAGTCCATGGAGTAAGGTTAAAGATCATGCAACTTATTGCATTTAATTTCATGTTTTTAAATTTAAAACATTTTAAAATTCATTTTAGAGAGAGAGAGAAACATCAATTTGTTATTTCACTTATTTATGCATTAATTGGTTGCTTCTTGTATGTGCCCTGACCAGGGATCAAACTCGAAACCTTGGCATATTGGGACAATGCTCTAACCAACTGAGCTACCCGGCCAGGGAAATGTCATGTTTTTTATAAAAATAATAATTGCTTTTTCCTGAATATTCACAATGTATCCAACTTGTTATCTTATTTTCTTTTTTCCACCAAATAGTTATTTTGGCTGAGGCCACTCAGCTGACTGGACTCTGAGCTGGGATTTAAACCCTGGTCTGTGTGAATCCAGAGCTGGTATTTTTATTTTTTATTTTTGCCTTTCTCTTCTTCCTGCTGTCAAAACGTTATTCTTAGACCTCTGAGTCTGCCCTTACACGTCATCTGGTCCAAATTCCCACCGGCTACAGCAGTCGCCTCTCCTACCTCACCAAGTGCTTACTCACTCAGCTTCTCCTGAATCCCTCAGTGTGTGGAGCTCTGACCTGCAGACTCTGGGCCAGCTCTGTTGTTAGAAAGCTGTGAGGTCCTGAGGCACGCTGGGCCCTCCTGTTGCTAGGCCACACTCAGGAGACGGCCCCTCGGTGCCAGGAGACATGGTCAGCCTGTGGGCCGCTGCCCACTTGGCTTCCTGAGTGGTACTCGGGGAACTGGTAACGGTGAGAGGCGGCCGCTCCAGGCTCTGAGCAGCAGACCAGGCTGTCAGGTGCCATCACTGGCCGGGAAGGACAGCAGCTTCCCGGGGCAGCGTGGTGCCGGGCAGGATTACCATCAAGAGATGCGGTGGAAATTCCTCGGCCACCACTGGCGCATTCTCTGTGGGAGCAAATTCTCCATCCTTCTCACTTCTGATTGGCAAATATTCTCCCACTTCCTCTGAGGCCAGAAGTGAATGCCTTCTGCACCAGCATCTCTCTAAGTTGCATCACTGTCACTGTCATCATCCTGTCGTCACCGTGGCAACTCCATCTATCCCAGTCTCATCACGCTCTAGGCACTATGCAATAGCTCATGGACTTCTCACAGGAATCCTGTGAGTCACCATGCCCATGCCCATGGCGTATAGAAGGAAATAGAGCACAGACAGGTGACGTGACCTGCCCCAGGTCACAAAGCAAGCAGGTGGCAGAGCCAGAATTGGGAGGCCAAAGTCAGTGTACAAAAGCACCTATCAGTTCTGCGCCTGCTGCCGTGTCACCTCCTGGGCTGTGTCACTCTGAGCCAAGTGTGTGCGAGTCACTAGGACTAAAGGCTGCCTCTCCACGGGCACCTCCAGGACTGCGTCCGGGGCTAAGCCACGGGAATCCCAGGCTTCCTTGGGGCCGGCCTCAGCCAGGAGGGCCCCTCTGGCTCTGCCCTCACTCCAGCTACGCCCCGGAGGCCTGGGTGAGTGTGGCCGAGGCTTTGACCTCACTTGGCATAAATCCGAATGGCCATTGACCCACCTGACACCCCTTACGTCTGAGACGCCCTGAGCCTGGCCCTATGGCACTCACTGAACTTGGGCCTTGGGCTGAGGTGCTTCACCGCGAATCTGAGCTGCTGCGGCTCCTTCGAGGAACCAGAACACTGTCTCCCTCTAGGCCTGGAAGGGGAAGGGAGTCTAGTGTGTAGCCCACAGTGTGGGGCGTTGGGGAGAAGACACATGAGAGGACAAGGTGAGACGGGGCAGGTTGTTCTGCTTCTCAGCCCGGGAGGACAGGCTGCCCCGAAGTTAGGATTGTCCTCTGGGTGTGGCCTTCATGGAGCTAGAGCAGTGGTTCTCAACCTTCCTAATGCCGCGACCCTTTCATACAGTTCCTCATGTTGTGGTGACCCCCAATTTCATTGTTACAAATTGAACATAATGAAAGCATAGTGATTAATCACAAAAACAATATGTAATTATATATGTGTTTTCCGATGGTCTTAGGCGACCCCTGTGAAAGGGTCGTTCGACCCCCAAAGGGGTCGCGACCCACAGGTTGAGAACCGCTGAGCTAGAGGAACGTGGCAGGAAGAAGAGTGTGGCGAGATGAAAGGGTGGGCGTGGGGCCCTGGGCGTCTTGGGGAGCCGGGGTGGGATAGAAAGTTGTGTCTGATGCTGATGCTGATGCTGCCCTGGGGGTGGGGGTGGGGGCAGTCTGTGGGCAGCGCTGACTTTTTATAGCTGCATGGGAACCATCAGGGAGGAGACTGGATTGGCCAGGCCTGGGGCACAGCTATATTCGGTAAGCAGCGGCCCCTGCTCAGCCTCAGAGGTCGCAGGCAGGCTGGGCCCGGCAGGGAGCCAGGGAAGGCGGGAGAGGGAGGGAGACTTGCTGGTGAGAGAGTCTAGTGTCGAGGTTGCAAATGGTGGGATCCGACCCACAGGCGTGCTTTGTGTCGCCCACACCCACCGGAAGGTCTCTGGCAACTTGGGCTGGAGTTACGTAGTGCTGCTCCTTAAGACGGACTCCCAGCATCATTTAGTCCCGGTCTCCCACCTCTTGCACCTGCGCTTCATTTGTTAGCTATGGCCCCTGTGTTTGCAACCTCCAGTCTAGCCCAGCCTGCTCTCCACGTTGCTGCTCTGATTGTCCTCACTGCCTTCCAGTGGGGTCCAGTGGGGTCCAGTGGGGGTCCAGTGGGGTCCAGTGGGGGTAGGGTCAGGAGTCAGTTTGGGAACTTAGCCCCAGGGTTTGTGCTGGGACATTGGGGCAATGTTGGAAAAGGATGTATTCCATTCATCTCTTAACGAAAACTTCCCATTGGTGGGAACAGAAGCCTCCTGCTGCCTGCTTTTCTCTCTGAGCCTTTGCATGCACGTGAGTGTGATTCTAGGCACACGTATGTGTCGTGTGTGTGTGTGTGTGTGTGTGTATGCGTGCGCGCGTGCACATGAGCCACCTGGTGGGTACCACACCCAGCTCTCCCTGGAGCATCTGCTTCAGTCAAGGATTGGAGACTCCATCTGTTGGACCAATTGGATGCTGCCCCTGTGCCTCTGAGGGCTCTGAACCTGCTGTTGGACTCCCAGGGTCTGCTCTTGAGGAGCCCCTTCTAGGAGGCCCGGCGGGGCAGGGAGGTGATGCCTGCCTCTCTTTTGCATTTGCGTGGTGCTGGCTGAAGATGCGCCAGGAGGAGACTGCCAGCTACAGAGTGGTGCAGACCAGCGAGGAGGGGCTGGCGGCCAGCGGTGAGCTCCCGGGACCGCTCCTGATGCTGGCCCAGAACTGCGCCGTCATGCACAACCTGCTGGGCCCTGCCTGCATCTTCCTGCGCAAGGGCTTCGCCGAGAACAGGCAGCCTGTACGTAAGTTGGCCCCAGTGGAGCGCACCCAGTGGAGCTGCGCTCGACTTGGCTTCACGGGCGTGAGAAGGTGCTGGGAAGAGGAGGGGCTCTGTACGCAGAAGTGTGCCTCCCCCCACAGATACACCTCAAACCCTCAATTTGCAAATCTGACCCCTGAAGTTTCCCGCTCATGGCTGCAGAGCACTGCTGAACCCACCTCCACCAGCAAGGAATGATGACAGCAGCCAACATTGTGGGGATTTTAAAAAATACACTTGTTTTTATTGATTTTAGAGAGAGAAGGCAGAGGGAGAGAGAGAGGAACATCAGTCAGCTGTCTCCTCTATGCACCACATCCTGACTGGGAGTCGAACCTGCGACCTTTTGGTGCATGGGATACGCTCAACCAACCGAGCCACACCAGCCAGGGCACGTTTGGGGAGACTTTCCGAACACTTTGTGTGCCCGGCACTGTGCTAAGAGCTTTGGCCCATTGCCTCACTTAAGACTCAGAGCAACTCCAAGAGGTAGGTACTATTACCCCATTTTACTGAGTTGGAGCAGTAACCTGCTGAAGGTAACAGCTTGTGGGCAATGGAGGTAGGACTCAGACTCGGGAGTCTGACTAGGCCTCCTGTGCTCGGAGCAACAGTGCTGAGCGCACAGCACTGTCCAGAGGACTTGCTGCCAGGATGGAAGCCTCCTGAGATCTGCACTGGCCACGTGTGGCTGTGGAGCACTGGACATGGGACTAGTGCAGCTGAGGAACTGGATGTTAATTCTGTTTCATTCCCATTCTGATTAAATAGCCACGTGTGGCTACTCTACTGGACAGCCTCCTGCAGGCATTGGACAGCCACAGGGAGGGGGGAACAGGATGGTGTTACAGGTGGAAATGTTTGTAGGCTCCATTTCCTGAATGCCACGTGCTAAATGCTACATGTCTTGTCTCACGGTATGCTCACTGAGGTCCTGGCAGGGGGGCCTGGCACTGACCTATTTACAGGTGCGGAGACTGGCTAGGCCACAGAAGTGACCTGCTCCAGGCCCATGGTTAGGAAGCAGCAGATGTGAGCTTTGCACCTGGGTCTGTGTGACTCTAGAGGCCTAGCTCTTCCCCCGACCATTACGTTGGAGTGAAAGGAGTATGTGTATGCTCCATTCCACCTGCCCGCCCCCCCCAACCCAATTGCTCATGGTCTTCCTGCCACCCGGGAGGGCATCTCTGGCTCTACTCCAAACACAGTACACAGCTCCCCCACTCTGCACCTGGGGTGGGAGTGGGGGGCGGGGGCGACCCAAGCACCAGCCACCAGGACTCAGCCAGCCCGCAGGCCCCCCGCAGCGGGGCACCTGGCTTTCCGCTCCCTGGCTCTGTCTATTCGAGATGTGTGAGGAGGTGCAGTGGGGGCAGCAGCACCTCACTTCTCTCCGGTGCCTCCGAGCTGGGTCCTGGGGAAGTGGGGCTGCTGGAGCCTGACCGGGGAAAGGACCTGCTATATCTGAGTAACTTGTCCTCGCGAGAGTCCTCCGTGTGTGCGTGCGCGGGCACGTCCTCGCTCGCTCGCTCGCTCGCTTGCACTTACTGGGGGTGTGGGCACCGCAAAAACCCAAGCACCGAGTCTGAGTTGGAGCAGCTCGTGGGTGACAGAGGCCGGATTACGTATGCGGAAGCGTACGACCCACACGACCCGCACACTGTGCGCCGCAAGGCACCTAACAGAGACAGACATACCTCCGTGACCCACCCTCAGCTAGAGACGCCACCTGCAGGACCCGGAGCTTGCAGCTGCTGGGCCCAAGCACATGGATACACTCCACACTGTCCGCCACCTACAGCCACTCCTAAGCACCGGCCTGTGTACCTGCTTGTTCCACTAGCTGTTGCTCAGGAGCCCCTTTCTAGAAGATTCTCAGATTTTCCAGAGTCAGGGTCCCTTGCCCTGGGGCCAGTTTGGAGTGGGTGGGCACCCTGGCCCTGTTGGCTAGAACAGCCTCCCGCTCACGGTGGCACACCGCGTGGCTGTGTTCATGGCAGGTGTGCCTCTACCTGGCGTGCTTCCTCAGGGTGGGCACACCTGCCCCATGTTCTCCCTGCCCAGAGGCAGAGAACTGTGCCATCTGGGGAGGAGGAGCCCCGTGGACCAGTTTGGGAGCTTACTAAGCAGGTCCAGCTGGGCAGCCATCCATTTCGTGCCAGTCTGTGTCCCTCCTGGGCAGGCCCGGGGCAACGGGCCCCTCACCAGCTGGAGCTGCCCCCTGCGTCCTCCGGGCCTGCTCTTTCGAGACTCCTCTGCCATCTGCTGTGATGCCGAGACCCAGGGTCTCCTTGGCTCCCCAAGGAGAGCTGGGCCCTGCTTGACGCTTTGGATGTGTGTTTGGGGCCTGGCGGCGGCCGGAGGCACTGGCAGCCCCCAGGCTCCTATGCTGCGCCCGTGGCAGGGCAGGGTGTAGCATAGGGGTCAAATTGGAGAAGGTAGAGCAGTGCCCGGGAAGCAGGGCGCAGCCCTAACCCTGCCTCCACACCTCGGGTCCTCCCCTCCGTCTCCCTCGGGCTGCCTGCCTGGTCCCTGCTTTCTCTCCTCAGCCCTCTCTGCTCCCATTACCTTGCAGGCCTCCTCTCTGCGGTGACCTCCCGCTGACGCTGTTTCATTTACAGGTTTTTGCCTCGGACCAGCTCTGTCCTCTGACACATTCTTGTGTCTGAAACAAGGGGCTGGGTGTAGAGGGCCTGTGCCCGGCTGCATGGGGCTCTGGGGCCCTGGGCATCGGCCATGCTGTGGGAGAAGTGGGGGTGCTCATTTCCCCCTCAAGGACACGGCCCAGGCATGCTCGGCTGCAGCCCCGCCAGCTCCACCAGCGCCTGCTGCCACTTGCATGGCCCTCAGGTTGGACTTTGTGACTCCGGGCCCCTAGCAGCTGCTAACAGGACACGTTCTTCTGTTTCAGGACAGATCACTGCGGCCAGAGGAGATTGAAGGTGAGACCCGGCCCCTTAGGGGAAAGGGTTACTCAGCCATCCAGGAAGCTGAGGGAAGGGAGACCGGTGGGAAGAGAGGCGGAGACCCCCTGACCTCCAGGGACAGGGCCTGGTAGGGAGCCGGGGCCAGAGGAGTGTACAGCCGGCAGCTCGGGCTCTGGCTGTCCACGCTAGTGGGCCCTATGTCTGCCTTTGGCTCCAGAGGCTCTGCAGCTCCCAGCCCCAACCATGTCCACCTTTCTTCCCTTCCCCAGAGCTCCGAGAGGCCTTCAGAGAATTTGACAAGGACAAGGACGGCTACATCAACTGCCGAGACCTGGGCAACTGCATGCGCACCATGGGCTACATGCCCACCGAGATGGAGCTTATCGAGCTGTCCCAGCAGATCAACATGAACCGTGAGTCCCTCCACTGGGCACTGGGCACCTCCTTCCCTCCCGTCCTCACCTCTGCAGCCCTCTGCAGTCACTCAGGCCTGGGTTCACGTTCTGGGCCCAGCTCTCTGCAGCTCTGTGGCCTGGGGAAAACCACGTACCGGTTTCCTCACCAGGAAAATGAGGGGTGTGGCGGGGGGTGAAGCTCGGGAAGTCACCTAGGGACTATGTTTGAAGCAGCCCAGTACCTGGCCCGCAGTGAGTTAGACAGAGGGATGCTGCTATTACTGTTTTCCTCTTGTCTGGGTTCTCTCAGAAGCAAGCCTGAGACGAGAACTTGAAAGCACAGGTCATTTATTTAATAGGCGATGAATAGGGAAGTGAGACAGGGAAGAGGAGGAGCCAGCAAAGGGTGCATTCTCAAGCCAGCTACCACTGACCCGAGCCTAATTCTGTTGGGGAACTTGGGGAGTCAGTGTAGCAGCTCCCCTCAGGGCTAGCCTGTAGCCCTCACCTGGGGCACTTACCCCCCAAACTCCTGCCAGTCGCTGGTGAAAGCTGTTGTTGAGCAGCCCTGTTAGCAGCTGCTAGGGGCCCGGAGTCACTTGTACCTCCTGAGAGAGCCTATTGGAAGTTGAGCTTCCATTTGCACAAGGATAAGGCTTGGAGCATGTGGGGCAGGCACCCAGAATTCCTGCTTCCCTCTCTGCCTTACTGCATGTGTCTCTGTCTCTGAAATTATTTGCCTGTCTCTGCAACCTAATGTTTTTTTCTCTCATCCATATCTTTCTCTACCCACTTCCTGATTTGTTCCCTTTGTCAACCCCTGGCCACTTCCCTGAGCCATTCTTTGACAAACTACCTGTACATAGTCACCTCTCTGTCATCATTTGGTCTTTGGTTAAACCTTGGACCTGGCCCTGTGCAAGTCAGGGTGGGTTGGTAGTACCTTCCATTGCCTAGGAGGGGAATGGTTAGATGGATGGCCTAGCTCTTTCCTTTGTCCCCAGTGGGTGGCCAAGTGGATTTTGATGACTTTGTGGAGCTAATGGGACCTAAACTCCTGGCGGAGACGGCAGATATGATTGGTGTAAAGGAACTGCGAGATGCTTTCCGAGAGGTGAGTCGTGGGCAGTGGACAGGCAGGGGGTGGCAGGCTGTTAGAAGCCCAACCCCAGCATGGCAACTTGAAAAGAACCCTGAACCCTGGGTCCCAGACCAGGGAAGGAGCTTGGACAGAGAACAGTCTCTGGGGGGGAGGGGACAGTGACTCTGGAGAAGGAGCTCAACTTTGGGATCTGCTCTTGATGGTCTCCATGTTATAGCTACCGCTCCCTCCTTCCTGCCCTGTCTAGTTTGACACCAATGGTGATGGGGAGATAAGCACCAGTGAGTTGCGAGAGGCCATGAGGAAACTTCTGGGTCATCAGGTGGGACACCGAGACATAGAGGAAATTATCCGAGATGTGGACCTCAATGGGGATGGCCACGTGGACTTTGAAGGTAGGTGGGCTTGAAAGTGGGAGAGAAAGGGACCATTCATGGAGCCCTCCAACTGTATATCCGTCATGCAACCATCATTTCATTCCAACTTTCCATCCCCTACTCTTCCATCCTGCCATCCATGCACCACTTCAGTCTGCCTCCCATCTCTATATCCATCCATCCATCCATCCATCCATCCATCCATCCATCCATCCATCCCATCTATTCATTTATCCATCTCTTCTTCTGTCCGATTTATCCACTCATCCATCTCTAAACAAGTATCCATAGAACCATTTGTCCATGCACTTATCTATCCACCCATGACTAATTCTTCCATAATTTACCCATTCATTCATCTATACACCCATCAACCCATGTATATCTCTCCATGAATCTGTACTTCTCTACATTTGTTCATATATTTATATACCTTTAACCACCTGCCTATATTTCTACCCATACTTCCACTGATCTGTCTGTCTAGTCATTCCCCTATCAGTAGCCATCTACTCACCCATACATCCGTTACTGTGTCCATCTTCCCCCATCCATCTCTATCCATCTGTCCGTCCACATTCCTCCATCCATGGAAAGTATTTTCTGAATGCCACATTCCTCAAGATGACACTCGGGCCCCTAAGATCTGACCACAGCTCCTACCATTCCTTCACTCCCACCGCACCTTACAGCTGCACCAAAGTACTTGTGGTCCATGGACCTGCTAGGTTCCTGTTTAACACACGGTTCTTTTTATCAAGATGCCTTTTATTCTATTGTTCACTTGGGCTCAATTCTGTTCATCCTTTAAGATCCAGCACTTTGTTCAGCCCTTCGTCCCTGATCCTCCAGATTGAACGTTTGGGCCCCACAGCACCTCAGGGTCATCCTTGTCCTTCACACTGTCCTCCAAGGGCTACTGTGGTCTCTCCACTTGACTCTGAACTTTTCCAGAAGAGGAACCTCCTTTCTTTATCGCTGCATTTTCCACATAACGCAGTGCCTGGCTAATGCTACATGAACACTTTTTCTAAGGAATCACTAGCAATTACAATAATTATCACTTATTGTAAATATATGTACGAGTCACTGTACTGAATAGCTTTACATATTTTATCTCATTTAATTCTCACAGTGACTCTATGGATTGCACTATTAGTCCCGCATGAGATGAGGATACTGAGGCTCAGAGAAGTAGTGTAACTTCTTGGGTTACCTGACTGAGAGGCAGAGCTGTGTCAGACCCAGGCCTGGAATCTCACCCACACGTAACACTGTGCGTGGCACCATTTGGAACACTGTGAGATGCAGGGAAAAGACAGTCAAACGTTGACTCTGTACTCAGATACTTGAGTTCTAGGAAAGGCAGGATAAGTATGTGCCAGAGTGTAAGTGCGTCCAGAACACAAAGGGGGGAGGCCTTTTATGGCGAGTAGTTGTCCCTCACAGTTGGGTAGAATGTGACTAGATGGAGAGAAGGCTTTGCTACCACAAGATCCGAACATCTCCGGATGTCCTGTGTCCAGGTAAGTGCCCCTCACAGATACCTGCCCTTCCCTGAAAGCCCAGGCCCCCCATTTATTCTACCAGCACGTATTGTACACCTCTGCGGGCTGAGACCGGACCCCCGCCCTGAGGACCCTAAGACCAGCGAGGAAAGCAGAAGCCAACAGTATAGTTCCTGCTGTTTTGAGGGAGTGTATAGCAGGCTGTGGGGACAGAGGGGGCCCTATGCCAAGCTGGAGGGGGATTCGGGAAGGCTTCCTGGAGGAGGCTGTGAATAAGCAGAGCCTAAGGAATGAGCAGGAGCTACCAGGGGAAAAGAAGGAAGAACTGTTTATCCAAATGAAGCCTGCACATGGATGTTTATAGCAGCTTCATTCATAACTGCCCAAACCTGGAAGTAACCAAGAAGTGCTTTAGTAGATGAATGGCCTGTGGTCCACCAGACAGTGGAATGGTATCAGAGAGAAGAAGAAAACTTAAATGGCTGCATACTGTATGATTCCAACTATATCACATTCTGGAAAAGGCAAAACTGGAGACAGTAAAAGGACCAGTGGTCGCCGGGGGCTGTGCTGGGAGCGGGGGATGAGTAGGCTGAGGACTGAGGATTCTTAGGGCAGGGAAACGATGGTGTACAGACTATAATGGTGGATACGTGTCATTATACACTTGTCAAAGCCCATAGAATGGGCACCACCAAGAGTGGACCCTCCTGTGACCTGGGCTTGGGGTGGTACTGATCTGTCAATGTCGGTTCATCAATTTTAACAATTGTGCCACTCCGGTGGGGATGTTGATAATGGGGGAGGGTGTGCTGTGTGGAGGTCGGGAGTATATGGGAACTCTGTACTTTCTGCTTAATTTTGCTGTGAACCTAAAACTTCTCTAAAAGAGAAAGTCTAGTTTGAAAAAGAGAAGGGAGAGGGGACAAGTGGCAGGAAAGCTGGAAAGTGAGGAGGGAGAGGGAGCCAGCGGCACCTGAAGTGCTGGAAGGGAGAGCTGTGTAGCTGGGGCATGAGATGGGGGTGAGGGGAGAGAGGAGGCCGGAGAGGCCAGCTGGGGCCGGCGCTGGGAGGGCCTGCGGTCATGCCAGTGTATGGGACATGATCCGTGGGGTCCGTGAGAGGTTTAAGAACGGGTCAGATATGCAGCTTAGAAAGCCCGAGCCGCTGTGTGTAGAAGATGGACGGGAGGAGGCCGCATGGAGGTGGGGACCAGCATGGAATCAGGAGCAGGGGCGATGGCGAGGGGACAGGTGGAGGGCGATTCGGAGGCAGGGTCCTGAGCTGGGCCCTGACGGCTGCTTCCTCCCACCCCCCCCCTGTACCCGCCAGAGTTCGTCCGGATGATGTCCCGCTGAGGCCGTGAGGGCCCCTCCAGGACTGCCAAGCTCCCACAGGCGGGAGAAGAGGGGCAGAGCTCTCCTCGCTCCGCTGCAGCTGCCGAGAGCCCAGGATGGACTGGTGGAGGGGGCCTGCTTGCACCCCGGACCCCCACCCTCCGCACTGTGAAAGACTCACAACTCCTGCAACTGGAAAGGGGGGCGCCCACCGACAAGGAGGCCACAGTGCCAAGCCACAGAGGTTATGCAAGGCGCCAAGTGCCACGTACCCAGCCGCTGCCGGTTGGATGGGCCAGGGAGCCCGCCAGCAGATCCCACATAGCATGTCTGCCCCAGGGCAAAGCCCTTGCTGCCCTCCTCAGCGCTGTGCCCATCCCAGCTCGCCTCAGCCTTGTTATCTCAGAACCAATAAAAACATTTCCGAGAGCAAGGCCGCGTGGGGTCTTTCCCTCTTGGGCCTGGTTAGCGACAGGTTTCCTGAGTACCAGCTGCACACCCAGAACTGGCCGAACATCCCCGCAGTCAGCAGGCATTTATTGGGTGCCGCTAGGTGCCCAGCCACTTCCTCACTGACCAGAAGCCAGAACCCGGCACCTTTAGCTGCAGGGAGATGGGGGGTGGTAATTAAGCTGGGTGCGCAGCTGCCACAGTATCAGGTTCTACAGCAAGTCCCTGCTTAATGGTGTCAATAGGTTCTGCTGCTTTAAGTGAACTGACACATAATGATATCAGTTTTACCACAGGCTAGTGGATATAAGCAGGAGTTAAGTTCCTGGGCATCTCATCAAGGACCTGCTGTGTAAGAGAAAGAATGGATAGTAGGTAAGCATCTAGAGGGGTCTGCCCACTTCCTGTCTTATTGGAGCTTTCCCACTGGTTAGGGAACAGACATAAATAATCGTGTTGTGACGTGATTACAAGTTGTGGTGCTGCCATTGAGGAAAAAGGCAGAGACCGTCAGGTATAGTCAGGAGGCCTGGGGAGGGCAGGGAGCCTTTCCACAGGAAGCGGTGACAAGGATTTGGCCCTGGAGGAGATCCCAGTGTGTGTGTGAGGGGACAGATGTAGAAACAGCTGCCACCTCTCCACGGAGCAGGAAGCAGAAGAGCTTTGCTGTGTGACTTTGGGCCAGTCCTGTCCCCTCTCTGAACCTCAGTTCACTGAGATGTAACATGGGGATAATAAAGGGTAATGAAGTCCACAGTAAGGGTTCTCAGGGCATAGCATTGCACACCTCCTGGGGCCGCTGTTGACCTAACTGCAGTGGAGTTGTGCCACCTAACAATATTAATCCGTTAGCACCATTGTAATTCATGCGGATAAGTGAAGGGTTGAAGGAGCCCGAAGGAGAAGTCTGAGGGTAGAAGTTGCCTGGAGTCTTAGGTGTGGGGCATAATCAGACCGGGGTGTGGGATGGACTCAGGCACCCAAGCCAGTGGTTCTCAAACTTCAGCGTGTTAAGAGTCACCTGGAGGGTTTGTTAAGCCACGGATCTGGCCCTACTCTGATGCTTGTGACTCAGTGTTAGGATTGGGGTCCATGAATTCGCATCTCTAACAAGCTCCCGGGGGATGCGGATGCTGCCCAGGCTGTGGACCACAATTTAAATAACTTACAAATCCCACGCTCGCGGAGGCAGGTGTCTTCCCAGGCAGCTGGGGGTGGGTGCTGAGGGCTAACGGCTGGAAGTGGGAGGCGGTGGACAATGCCGGGCCCATATGTTGCGGCTTAGGGACGATCCTTGTTCTGAGACCTGGCAGGGAATGTGGGCCCCTGCCAGAGGCCTGGGTAATCCCCATGTCCCTGTGGGCAGCAGGGCTGGGAGCTCCATATTCACTGCTAATCCAATCCCGAGACTCAGCCTCGGCCCTGTGCTCTGCAGCAGCCTGCAGCACTGCCCGCTCCCTGCCCACTTCCCTCTGCCCAGAGACCCCAGATCTACGGTGTCAGAAATGCAGTGTTTTTGGAGGGCTTCTGTGGGCGTCTCTGTAGCTGACCGGATGAGCCCCTGCAGGCACCATAGGAGGAGTAGAGCTAGGGCGTTGGGTCTGACGCTCCTGTCCCTGGTATGGCCTCTTAGGAAAAAGAAATGGACATGGTGCCTTTGATCTAATGACTCGGCAATACAGCCAGGCCACTGTTCAGAGGGACCCTCCTGCTCAGGACAAGGGGGCCCGGAGGGGGCGGCCTCTGCCTCCTCCAGTGCTGAAACTAGAACTTGCCTTGAGCGTGTCTTATATTTGGGGGGGCCCAGCAAGATTGCCGACTGAAAGGGCTCTGCTGCTTTCCGAGACTGGGACTCTGTGTCCTAGAAGGAATTCTTTTTTTTTTTTTTTTAATCCTCACCCAAGGATGTGTTGAGAGAGAGAGAGACATGTGAGAGAGAAATCGGTTGCTTCCCATATGCAGACCGACTGGGGATTGAACCCAAAACCTAGGTATGTTAGGTGTGTGCCCTGACGGAATGAAACCTGCAACAGGAATTCTTTCTGCAACCGGTACCGCACAACAGCTTGAATACCTCCTCTGGTGGGCAGCTCAGTGCATGTCATCTTAGAAGAGCTCTCATTGTCTGAAACTAAGCCCAGAACTGCCTCCCTGTGACCTGTGAAGTCCCATTCATTCATACATGCATTCAATTGATATTTATTGAGCACCTATTATGTGCCAGGTCCTGTGCCAGGGTCCTTGTCTTCAAGGAGCTCAGACTCTAGAAGGGAAAACATAAGAAAACAGACAAGTATCACGTAATGGCACTGAGTTACACCCGAGGTTAGTCTTGGAGAAGCAAGGGCACGTAAAGGCGTCCAGTCCCCTCTGGCTGGTGGGGGTGGTATGGAAGGGACAGGTTTGCTAGGACCTGAGGATCAGCTGGGCTGAAGGGAAGTAAGGGGAAGAGTGTTTCTGGTTGAGGGAACAGCATGAGCAAAGGCCCAGAGGTCAGGAGGAGCATGGCCCCTTTGGGAAATGAAGCAGAATTCCATCTGCCGGGTGCACTGGGCGGGAGGGAGAGGTGGAGAGAGGTGACACTCATCAGAGAGGCAGGGCCCGATCCCACCGCAGGTCTTGGAGTTGGGGAGACGCAGGTGGGACCCCTGTGTGAGCCAGGCCCAAGGCAGGAGAAACCTGGGTGCCCCCAACAGGCTTGCCTTGGGGCAGAGAGGGGCAGAGGGCGGAGCCATCCACAGGGCAGCTGAGGGCAGCCTGAAAATGTCCCCGCAGCAATGGGGTTAAGAGCATGGCTGTGATCAAAGGACAGAGAAACACAGACATTCTGTGCCCCTGACAGAAGGACACCGCCTTGGGGTCTTGCCAAAAGGGTCCAACATGAGTCTGATCGCGCCCTGGAGCCAGCGGGCAATTGGCAGGAAACTCAGAGACCAGCGGGACGAGGAGGGGTACTGTGACCATTTCATGGGCAAAATCAGACTGGGAAGCTCCACCGGTCAAATGGCTCCAATTCTTCAACAGATAAATGACAAGAAACACTAAGAGATGGCGGGAGGACTTGTAGATTAAAAGAGACTTAAGAGATATCAGGTTAGAAAAAAATGGGCCTAACTAACCAGTGTCTAGGGCAGTGATGGCGAACCTTTTGAGCTTGGCGTGTCAGCATTTTGAAACACCCTAACTTAACTCTGGTGCCGTGTCACATATAGAAATTTTTTGATAGTTGCAACCATAGTAAAACAAAGACTTATATTTTTGATATTTATTTTATATATTTAAATGCCATTTAACAAAGAAAAATCAACCAAAAAAATGAGTTCGCGCGTCACCTCTGACACGTGTGTCATAGGTTCGCCATCACTGGTCTAGGGTGAAAAAAACACAAGGAAATTATTCCTGTAAAAGTTCCAATAGCAGTTGCTTGCAGAGAGTGGAGGGAAGGGCCGTGATTGGGAGAGGACACAGAGAAGGGGGTGTCAGGCAAAGTTCTATTCCTTAACCCTGGTGTTAAGAAATATCAGGGGCCTTAGCTGATTTGGCTCCCTGGATAGAGCATTGGCCTGCAGACCGAAAGGTCCCTGTTTGATTCGGTCAAGGGCGTGTACCTCGGTTGCAGGCCCTTCTCGGGGCCTGGCCTGGGCCCTGGTCAGGCGCAGGTAGGAGGTAACCAATCTATGTGTTTCTCTCACATCCGTATTTCTCTCTGTCCTTCCTCTCTCTAAAAATCAATGGGAAAATTGCCTTAGGTGAGTATTAAAAATAGATAAATAAAAAGAAATATAAGAGTATTTGCCTTATAATAATTAACTGAGTTGTACATTTATTTTGTATGCTTTTCTTTTTGTCTTATTTTATAATAAAGGGCTTTGTTTTTATTTATTTTTACTTTTAAAAATATATTTTTATTGATTTCAGAGAAGGAGGGAGAGGGAGAGAGAGAGAAACATCAATGATGAGAGAGTATCATTTATTGGCTGCCTCCTGCACGCCCCACACTGTGGATCGAACCCACAACCTGGGCATGTGCCCTGACCAGGAATCAAACTGTGACCCCCTGGTTCATAGATCGACACTCAACCACTGAGTCACCCCAGCTGGGCAGGTTTTTTTTGTTTTGTTTTTTAAAGTGAGCTCAGGAGCCAGCCACCTGGATTCAAATCCCGGCTCTGCCACTTACTAGCTGTATCATCTTGGGTACATTTTAAATCCCTCTGGACCTCAGTTTCTTCATCTGTAAAGTGGGGATGATGTTATAGGTTGTTTTGAAGGTTAAACAAGTCAGTGCCTGGCACACAGTAAGCATTGAAAACATTTTTGCAATTATTATTGCATTGTTATTCCCTATTTCCCTACCCCTCTCTCCGTGTGCCCTCAAGCTTCTGTGATTCCCCTCTCAAGGAAAGGGAAGGGAGAGCAGCCATGGCATTCCTTAATGGCTATGGTAAGTGACAAGATAGTCCCAGCTTAAATCTGGGATCTGGCTCTATGGCCAGGGAGTGACTGTCCCCACAGAATGGTCCTACAAGGTGGCCCCGGTCCTGTGGACTGTGCCTGAGGCTCAGGTTGCAGGAGTAGAATATCCCTTCACTCCTCTGGAGGGGCCTGCCACCTGTTCCCCTTCTCTGCTGATGCCTGTCTTTCCCAGAGCGAGGACAAAGGGACAGAGTGTCATGAGCGAGGCGTGAGCTTTGGCAGTAATGCGAACCTTGGTTCTAATCCCAGCTCTGCCGCAGAAGGGAGTTTAGGAATGTATGTGCTGAGAGTCCCTCTTCCTCTTTGAGCCTCATTATCCCTTAATGATAATAATTGCACCTCCCTGGGGGGTCGGGGTTGTGATGAAATAATCCATGTGTGATGCTTAGTAGAGGCCTGACCCAAGGCCTTCACACACACTGTTCTCTCGTCGTGGAGGGCTTTTCCCTGCATTCTGTGAATAAGCTGGATCCTTCTCTATTCTTGGGGCTCAGATTAAATGTCTCCTTGACTCCTATTGAAGGAAGGAAGCCACTGCCACATCTCATTTGCATTTTTAAAGCATATATGAAAGTTATGACCCTAGCCGGTTTGGCTCAGTGGATAGAGCGTCAGTCTGCGGACTGAAGGGTCTCCGGTTCGATTCTGGTCAAGGGCACATGCCCAGATTGTGGGCTCCATCCCCAGTAGGGGGCGTGCAGGTGGCAGCCGATCAATGAGTCCCTTTCATCATTGATGTTACTATTTCTCTCTCTCCCTTCCTCTCTGAAATCAATAAAAATATATTTAAAAAAAACATTTGTGGCAAATAACACAAATATCAACATTTCTTTAAAAGAAGAGAAAGTTATGACCTGATGTATTTATTATATTGCAATATATTTCTATTTATCTGCTTGCTGTTCGATGCCCCCGTCCCTCACGAGAGTGCAGGCTCCCTGTTGGCAGAGACCATCTCACGTTGTTCACTGCAGCATGACTCCAGTGTCTAGTATGCACTCGGCAATTATTTATTGAATAAATGAACAAAATCCACAAATATATAAATGATTGGCTTAAACATTTTTTTTTATTGATGAGAGAGAGAGAGAGAGAGAGAGAGAGAGAGAAGGGGGAGAGAGAAACATCCTTGAAAGAGAAACATTGCCCGGGAATCGGCTCACCCGGAGCCGGGTGCAGAGGATGGCAGTGTCTGTGACTGCGCCCTCAGCTGCAGGAGGGCTGCAGGCCTGTCCCTGGCGGCTCCCTGACCTCCGGTCTCCCTCCGCTCCACGTCCGTCCAGGCCTTGGGGACCATTTCCTTGCGCTGCAGGGGCTTCAAAGTCGCAGGCAGGGCCCTGGAGTGGGAAAGAAAGGACTGGGAGTTGGACAGGCCTAGATTCTAGTCTTTGATCAATCATTTACAATCTCTGGGACCTTGAGCCAGTTGATGAAGCTTTGGTTTTCTCTCCTGTTCAAAGGACAACAACAACATTAACAACAACAACATATCAGCCTGGAAGAGTTTTAGTGATCAAATCAGGTAACAGACACGAAAGTCCGATGTGAGTGTTGTCACTAGTATCAGTAGCTACAGTGTTTGAAACAGCCACTGAGAACCAAATCCGAGGGTGAAACTGGCGTTCCGGGGAGAGACGGCTGCATTTCTGCCAACATTCATTCTCCCCATCTTCCTTAGGAATAAAACTCCCAATTTCTATGACGTTTTGAATCAAGACTACATTTCCCAGCCTCCCTTGCTTCTTGTAGCTGTAGCCTTGTTTGCGCCCAAGTTCTGGCTAATGAGTAGAAGCAGGTATGTGCAATTTCTGATTACGTGTCCTTAGAAGGAGAGGCCTGGCTCCCCTTGCCTTTCTTCCTCCTTGTTGCCAGCTGGAATGTGACCCGAGGCCTGGGCTGGAGCAGCCATTCTGGACCATGAGGAAGGAGTCGGTACTGAGGATGTGGAATAACCTATAGGAGGGGCCGAGCCCCTGACCCCCGTCTGGAAGCCACCCCCAAGCCTTGGAGTGCCTCATTCCAGGCGCCTTTAGAAGGGAGAGAGAAAACGTGTGTCATTACAGCCATTATTACTTTGAATTTTTCCTGCAACCAAATTTAAATATGACTCATGTACTCCAGAAAGGAAGAGTTCACACAGGCGTGATGTTTTATTTTTAATTGATAAACACTTATATAACACCTGCTATGTTGCTGGCATTCTATTAAGCCCTTCCCAAATATTAACTTGTTAATTCTCATTATAACTCGATGAGATAGGAACTACTATTGTGCCCATTTTACAGGTAAGTCTTGGAAATTACATTGTAAAGGGGAGGAAAACAGTTCTTTTTTTTTTTTTAATATATTTTATTGATTTTTTTCAGAGAGGAAGGGAGAGAGATAGAGAGTTAGAAACATCGATGAGAGAGAAACATCGATCAGCTGCCTCCTACACATTTCCTACTGGGGGTGTGCCCGCAACCCAGGTACATGCACTTGACCGGAATCGAACCTGGGACCTTTCAGTCCGCAGGCCGACGCTCTATCCACTGAGCCAAACCGGTTTCCTCGGAAAACAGTTCTTGAAATGTTCTCTATTCAGTTCCTGCCTCTGTCAGTTCTTTCATTCAACAAATATTAACTGAGCACAGACTATCAGCCAGGTCCTCTTCTGGGTGTTAGGGACAGAAAGACAGACTTGATGACTGGTCTCCGGGAGCTTACAGTCTAAGCTGCACTGTCCAGTAGCCACCGGCCACGTAGGCCTGTTTAAATTAGTTAATGTAGTTCCCTAGACATACCAGCCACATTTCTTTTATTTTTATTTTTAAAATATATTTATTAATTTCAGAGAGGAAGGGAGAGGGAGAGAGAGATAGAAACATCAATGATGAGAGAGAATCATTGATCGGCTGCCTCCTGCACGCCCCCTACTGGGGATCAAGCCTGCAACCCAGGCATGTGCCCTTGGCCAGAAACAAACCTGGGACCCTTCAGTCCGCAGGCTGATGCTTTATCCACTGAGCCAAGCCAGCCAGGGCCCAGCCACATTTCATATGTTCGATAGCCACACGTGGTTGGTGGTTACTTTACCGGATGGTTCAGATGTGGTGTGTTCCCATCATGGAAGCAAGTTCTGGTCTAAAGGCACAGCTGACAGGCCCTGGCTGGTTAGAGTGTTATCCAGATACACCAAGGTTGGGGGTTTGATCACCGGTCAGGGCACATACAAGAAGGCAACCAACGAATGTGTAAATAAGTAAAACAACACGTTGATATTTGCCTCTCTCTCTCTCTCTCTCTCTCTCTCTCTCTCTCTCAAATCAATTTTTTAAAAATTTAAAGAGACAGCTGACAAACTGACCATTTACAATCCAATAGGCAAACTCTGGTTATTCTATTTCTTCTTGCTGCTTCCCTAATTCACCCAGTTCTAGGGGAGAGCACGGAAAAAGGCAGCTGCTTTATTTATTTGTGGGTGATGGTTGGCTTTGTGTGAAGTCCTCTTCATTCATCATCTCACCCTACTTTACAGAAGAGGAGGCTGAGGTTCAGAGAGTACACCTATAGTGCCCTTGGTGTCCCTGGTCTCATAAATTGTGTCCTCACCACAATTCAGAGTCTGGGAGATGATGAGAACAGCTAACACACGTGCTTGCAATGGTCAGTGGGCACTCTCCTGAAGGTGGCTCTGTGGTCTGCATCCTCACCCCAGGAGACGGACAATCCTCACCTCGTTGGCAGGTGAGAAACCACAGTGCAGAGGGCAAGTGACTTGCCCAAGGCCATCCAGATGGGAAGGCGCTGGGAGTTTCTGTCCTTATTCTGGGCAGCTCTGGGCCGGGCTGGCGTCTTCCCTGTGACTCATATCCTCCCGGGGGAAGTAAAGAAACGCCAAGTCCATTCTCCCTCCTGGGAAGTTCGAGACCCAGCCAGGTCTCTCTTGGTCCAAGTTGCCCACTGGCCAGGGCCAGGCAACACCGTGGTTCCCCGCCTCTCTGGTGGCGCCGGTCCCCCTGCTGTCCCCGCACTAGAGGCCCCGGGCTGGGACACTTGGCTTTGGGACCAGACCACCCACTTTCGAGTCCCAGGGCTGGCAGGGCTGGCTTAGCAGAAGGCAAGGCTGGCCTCCGCCCGCTTTCTGTGTTTACCTTTTGAACTTTTATTGTGAGCTTATCTTTAAGGGGGAAAATATTCCATAACCTTAAAATAGGCCAGACTTAATTAATAGCGTGCTTTGTTCTCCTGATCCTTATCTGCACAGGAAGACCCACCCCTTTTCGGTTTTGTGGGTCAAGGTGAAACTGCCTCTGGGGGCTCACCAGCAGCTGTTCCTTTTCCACGTTTGAACTCCGGTTCGCTTTGGCTTCTCCCTCCCCTGAGTGGAAGGGTTTTCCCCAAATCCTTAGCCTGAGCCCTTCGCCAAGGCCTTTGCCAACATGACACGATATAATTATTTCTAATCTAGAAAGTGGAGCTAGGCTGTGGACCCGGGTCTCTCTGTCTCCGAGCACGCACAGCTAATATTTATTGAGCACTTAGCTATGGGCTCAAGAATCCCATGTGCTTTTAAAACATGTCCTTTTTATTTTCCTTGTGTAGAATGTCTTATTTCTCACAATCCTATGAGGTACATACAGCTATTCTCTCCATTTCACAGATGAGGAAACTTCGGCTCAGAGAGGTGAATACATTTATCCAAAGTCACACAGTGGTTAATGGTGGAGCTGTGATTTTCATCAAGCTGTGCCTGATAGGTAGCCTGGCTCAGAGGAAAAGTAGTAAATTAAGAGCCCCCCCCCCAAAAAAAAAACACACACAAAAAAACCCAAAACCAACACCCTCCAGATTTTGGCTCCTCAAATGTGTGGGCAAATCACTTAACCCTTCTGGACTGCAGCTTTGCATCTGTGAAGTGGAGATACTGTGTCCCCAGCTCCTGGAAGTGGCTTGAGGATCACGTGTCTGGGACCAGTGCTATGGAGAGCCTGCTCCATCAGGACCTGCATTTACGTGCTTGTCCCTGTTTGTATGGAATTCTGGTGAATTTTATCTTTTAAAAATTCTTTTCTGAGTTTTCCACAAAATGCTTATCTTCCTTCCATAAACAGAAAATAATTTATATTCATTTTGAAACTATCTCATTTAATCTTTACAACTGTGAGGTGAATCTTTAAATTTTTTTAAAATTTTTAATTATTTATAATTATAGTTAACAGACACTATTATATTAGTTCCAAGTGTACAACATGGTGATTCGACATTTATATGCCTTAGCAAGTGATCACCACAATAAGTCTAGTGACCTCTGTCACCTTGACTTATGTTATAACTGGAAGTTTGTACTTCATAATCCCCTTCCCTTTCTGTTCAGCCCCAGCCTTCTCCCCTCTAAGGTGAGGTGGATGATCTTAGTATTTGCATTTTAGGAGAGAAGTGGTTAGAGAGAAAAGGAGTAACATAGCTGGGAAGCCCCTGAGAAAGGACCTGAACCTGGTTCTGTATGTCTGTCCTTGTCATTCCACGAAGAACAAATCCTCCGTTCTGAGGGGATGCTGAAGGGATTGAAGCTAATTTTTAAGTAGACTTTATTTTTTAGATCAGTTTTAAGTTCACAGCAGGTACATAGTGTTCCCACATTACCCCACCATCCACTGCCCCCACTCTCTATGCCCCCGCCAGAGTGGGACATGTTGACAACTGATGAACCCACACTGACACATCATTGTCTCCCAAAGTCGGTTGATGATAGGATTCACTCTTGGTGTTGTCCATCCTGTGAATTGGACAAATGGACTTGGACACACATCCACATCACAGTATCACACAGAACAGTTTCCTGCCCTAAGGATCCTCTGTGCCTGCCTGCCTCTCCCTCCTGCCCCCATAGAACCTGTCATACAGTCAGAATCCTAAGTATGTAGCCTTTTCAGATGGGCTTCTTTCACTTAGTAACATGCATTTAAGGTTCTTCCATGTCTGTTCATGGCTTGATAGCTCATTTCTTTTTTTAAAAAAATTTAAATTCTTTGTTGTTCAGACCTAGTCAGTTTGGCTCAGTGGATAGAGTGTCAGCCTGAGGACTGAAGGTTTGATTCCGGTCAAGGGCACATGCCCAGGTTTTGGGTTCATCAATGATTCTCTCTCATCATTGATATTTCGTGTTCTAAGATTTAAAATAGGTGCTCTATCTATTAGATTATAAGTCCCCCCCCCCCCCCCCCACCATTGACCTCTCCTTGGCTGCTCCTACCCCCCAGTTCATTTCTTTTTTTTAGCACTGAGTAATATTTCAACGTCTGGGAAGTTATTATAGACTAGAGGCCTGGTGCACGAATTTGTGCACGGATGCGGTCTGGCCAGCTCGCCCTGATCAGTTCCACTGGGGCCTGGCCAGCTCAGGGGAGGGGACACAGGAGGCTGGCCAGCCAGCCCCACCCCCTGGTTGAACTCCCGGTGGATGGGGACAATTTGCATATTAGCTTTTTATTATATAGAATTATTTATTCATCACCTACTGAAGGACATCTTTGTTGCTTCCAAGTTTTGACAAATATGAATGAAGCTGCTGTGAAAAGACCATGTGCAGGTTTTTGTGTGGGTATAAGTGTTCAACTGCTTTTGATAAGTACCAAGGAGTCAGTTGCTGGATCTCATGGTAAGAGTATGTTTAGTTTTGTGGGGTTTTTAAAACATTTAAAAAATATGTTTTAAATTTGATTTCTGAGAGAGAGAGAGAGAGAGAGAGAGAGAGACATCCATGATGAGAATCATTGATCCACTGTCTCCTGCACACTCCCCATTGGGGGTGGAGCCAGTAACCCAGGCATGTGCCCCGACCAGCATGTGCCCTGACCAGGAATTGAACCGTGACCTCCTGTTCATAGGTTGACGCTCAACCACTGAGCCACGCTGACCAGATGTTTGTTTGTTTTTAATATATTTTTATTGCTTTTAGAGAGGCAGGGAGAAGGAGAGAGAAATAGAAACATCAATTATGAGAGAGAATCACTGATTGGCTGCCTTCTGCATGCCCCACTCTGGGGATTGAGCCTTCAGCCCGGTGACCTGGAATTGAACCTTGATCTCCTGGTTCATAGGTCGATGCTCAACCACTGAGCCATGCCGGCTAAGAGAGTATGTTTAGTTTTGTAAGCAGCTGCCAAACTGTCTTCCGAAGTGGCTATACAGTCCCACCGGCGATGAATGAGAGTTCCTGTTGCTGCACAGATTTGAAGTAATTGTTATGTACAGCCAGCCCCAGCTGAAGGAGGTGGAAATGCAGCCACTTACAGTGTCTTTGGCGCTCACGTGGGGATGACCTTGCCCAGCGGGCAGGAGGGATCGGAGGCTGGAGCCCATTGACTGTAGAGAAACGACCTGGGCCCGGGGCCACTTGGGGACTGGCCACCTTCTCAGCTTTCCCAGAGCTCAGACTCACTGCCTTGTGGAGAGCCAGCCCGGAGAGCAGGCCTGGGGCTATTTGGGGACTCCTGTAAGTCAGCATCTTTGGCTATAATTCTGCCTTGGGGTCAGACCCTCTATTCTGATTTGGCAGCTGCAACCCTAACCCCTTTGTCTCCTGCCCCCACCTCCATCCCAGCCCTGAGTCCTGCTCTTAACATCTCTTCAGCTTTGAGAGAAACTTGATGCCCCCACCCCAGTCACCCCCTACCCCCCAAGGGGACTATCCCTGAGCCAGACCTCTCAGATGAGACATCATTCTGGAGGCAACAACTTCTGCTTGTGGGAGCAATGCCTGCCATTTGAAAACTGCTGGCCTCTGTCTGGGCATCAGTTTTCTCAGTTATAAATGGGGAGAGTAAGTTATGGGGCTTTCTATGGTGTAATAATCTCAAGAGATAAGGCAAGAGAAAGAGCTTGGGGAATTGAGGGCCCAATGCTTCTGTTAGCAAAGTCCTCAACTGGTACCACCGATTTCCCTAGCCCCTGGGTGATAGGGTACAGGGTGCGGAAGACATTGCCACTCTCAAGGGGTACAGGGTCCTTCAGTAGGAAGGAGTTTGAGGAGGCCACACCTTCAGTGACTTTACTTATCATGGGCTCTGGGCATTCCTAAAAAAACATAGCTCTGGGTGCAAGTTGCAGAAAGCAAAAACTCAGGGGCCCCTTTAATTCCAGGAGAACTATCAGGTGAGCGCTGGCCTGTGCCAGGAACTATTTTAATGACTATTCTTGCACTGTTTTTAGTAATTAAAATTTTTTTCAATTACAGTTTACATTCAATATTATTTTGTATTAGTTTCAGGTGTACAACATAGTGGTTAGATATTCATATACTTTACAAAGTGTTCCCCCTGATAGTTACAGTCCCCATATTTCCTATGCTGTACTTTACAGCCAGGTTGCTCCCACTTTTTGACTGTTATAAATAATGCTGCTATGAACATTGGTGTATATGTTTTTGTGTGAACATATGACTTCATTTCTCTTGGGAGAAATGGAATGAAATGGATGGTTGCATTGCCTTATCTTATCCTACATCCATCCTTTGAAGTAGGAACTATTATTATGTCTTTCATAGCTGAGAAAACTGAAACTCAGAGAGGCATACTCCTTGCCAAGGCCACGCAGTAAGTGGTGGGAGAGGGAACTCAGATCCCACGCTCATCCTGCCTCCAGGGTCTCAGAAATTTCATTTTACTTGAAAGGCAGCCTTAGCAGCTGAATCTCAAAAATGGGCCCAAGCCCTTCATTACATGGCCCAAGCGCTTCATTACAGAGGCAGGTATAGAACCTGAAGGGCCCAGTGGGGTTAGCCATCAATCTTGTTCACTTCACCCAGTGACCAAGGGCATGGAGGCTGAGAGAAGGCTTACAGTTAAGGCCTTTTGAGGAAGGTTTAATCCATTCTTGTGAGTTTTCTCCTGAATTAGGCTGCCTTGAGGATAAAGTAAACGTGAGCTCCTGGACGCAGTGTAGTATCTGGTTAACTGCCTGGGTTGGGTGGGTACGAAGCCCCATCACCTCCGCTCTGGGGGTTAAGCTCTAACTTGTCAGGTTCCTCCAAAGATGACAGTTTTCAGAGACGAGAGTGGGATTAGAAACCCAAGTGCAGGGCCCCAGGGAGGGCTGGGAGGGGAACCGTGACTGTGGGAGGAAGCAAGTCCAGATCCTTGCAAAACAGGTGGGAGGAGGGGGAGGGGAAGGACCAGAGGGAACAGTCCAAGTTACTCCTGTGTGACCGTGACCTCGGGGGCTGGGGAAGGAATTCTGATGCATTTAAACCCCCTATGGAGGGCGGGAAGGGCTAAAAAAAATCCAGCCCTATCGATACTCTCCATTTCGGCGCCCCATTTTGTTCCTTCATAGCCCTCACTATTGTTCTAACTACATAATTAATGGAATCGTGGGACTGAGAGTCTCATGCAGGATACCCGGCGTGTTTTTGTTCGCCAAATTTAACGGGGCTTCCTGTATTTGATCCGCTAAATCTGACAACCGTAGACGTAGGGTCTCTATAAATATTTGTGGAACAAGTAGGTAAATGGGTGCTTGCCTTGGCTGTGCTCTCAGCTCGCTGCGTGACCCTCCGGGCAGCACTCGGGCCTGTGTGTGTGTCTGTGTCTGTGAAGTGGGAGTTCGGGCAGCGATCGCAGCGCAAGGATGGCCCGTTACGAGAGAATGACTGACCGGTCCGGAGAGCCGCCGGGGAACTCCGGTCCTGCGGGGCGGGACCTCAGGACCGGGCTCCGCCCGCAACTCTTCCCTCCCGGGCTGGGGAAACCCCGACCCCGCCCCTCCGACGCCGGGGCCGTCCCGAGGCCGTCGCCTTGGTGACCAGGGTAGCCGGGAGCCCCTCCCCCACAAAGCCACGCGTTTCCGCTGTGTTGGAGCATTCCGATTGGATGGCCGTCTGGACGCTACCACCAGCCCCGAGCCCGCTAAGGGGCGGGGGCGGGGTCTTCTCCTCGTGGGACTCTGTCCTGAAGGTCGGTGCATGTGCCTCTCTATGGGAGGATGGATTTCCTGAGTCACGCGGGGAAAAAGACTCTCAGGTCGGAAGAGTGTCCATTGGTTTTTCTAGAGCTTACGTTCATGCCTCTCCCCAAGAAAGAGGGTGAGGGACAGTCGGCCACGCCCCCTCTAGAGCCTATTCGGTCCCAGGATCCGGAGCACCGGAAGTTCTGGCGACGTGTCGGTGCGCTCTGTCCTAAATGTTCCTCCCTAGGCCACCTTTCCTAGTCAGCTGCGGGATTCCGGGGCCGCCTGGGCGCTGCACCCCGCCACTTCCGTATTGAACCACGGTTTCAACCGAACTCCGAACCTCTGCGCGCGCTCCCTCTGGTGCCTGATGGTTGGGCCGGCGCCTGGGACTAGCCACGCCCTCCCCCGCTCCTGGCAGCCAATGAGCGGACGTCTTCCCGCGGGGTGTTGGGTAATTAATGAGCGCCGGGCACTGATTGGCTGCAGATCGTGGCCGGGGGCTGGGCGCCGGGGTAGGTTGTTCCTGAGGTGGGAGGCGGCCGCGGTGGCTGGCAAGTAGGCCTGAGAACGACATGTCCCCGGCGGTTGAGGCAGAGCAGCTCGTGGCGCTGTTTCTCTGAGTCCAGGGCGGCCTGGAGGCCGGCTGAGGACGAGGGTTGGCGGAGGC